CTAAAGTACTAAATATATATCTATTAATAACTCCTCTACCGCTAACCCAATGGAGGTGGCTCAAGAACCTATGAGTCCCTAATGGACTCTACTTTCATATGAGATTGTTCTATTATATTGTCCATTATGCTTTAACCTCCCAGTAACCCAAATACCAAAGAAACATACTACCCCCTGTGTTTTACACCACACAAATATTAAAAATAAGAAACAATCTGAAAAAGTGGTAGATGGGCACTCATTGTTGCCCATATAGCCCATAGTTCCTCACCTTCAGCCGTTATGCTCTCCGCCTCCACTAGCATTGTCTCCAAACGCTTGCTTAGCAACATCATGCAAGTGCGTCTCCTCTATCCAATGCATAGTTATTAAAAATACTCCCACCTCATGTGGGAGTACCAAAGTTTGCAGGTGAAGGCCAACCGCACCTTATTCCACTCCTCCATCCCTTGCAACTTCAGCACCGCTTGATGGTGCATTGACCCCACCAACAAAAATACCACTTTCAGGCTGAGAACCGACATAATTGTGTGTTGTGGACCATATCACAAAAGCACAATTGTTGTGGCCCCGTTGGTAGCCACTAGTTTTCAAAGGCGCTGGGTCGCCCTGCCCTGCAACTCAGCTATTGGAGGTTGGCTGGCCCTCTCCACCTTAGACAGTGGGCGTATCCGGGGCAGTCGATTTGGCGGGCGTGCAATGAGCCCAATGCTCGATGGGGATCGACCCCCGGGCCCTACTGTCGGTGAGAGGTGGTGGTGCAGTGCGGCGGTGGTTTGCTTGCTCGTGGGAGGCCAGAGAATGGGCCAAAGAGAGTTATATCGATTCACTACATGCGCACGCACATATCGCATGTGCGATGCACGATCGCGGGTCCATCACAGTCACATCAAGACAAGACAACTTAGTGTGTATTTAGGCACATTTTCACCGTCCACCGTTCACCCACGATCGACCAATTGTCCTCTAATTCCAAGCATCTAACACCCGACCCCCTGGCCCTTAAGTACTATAACTTCAAAAGGCCATAACTTTGCTATTTCTTAACGGAATTGGGCGTTTAAAAGCGCATTGGAATTAGGAAGCTCTAGATAACACTAAAAAACAACACTAAATAACTCTAAATAATAGGTCGTTTTTCCAATTATGTAATTCTCACTCCAAAGAATATCAATAACTGTGTAACCCCAAGTAACCACACCACAACCATGGGACAATACAACATATTGCACAATGCATGCGATGACATAGTAATAGCTGACTTCATTGGTGACGGCCTTCTAGCTGAAGGAGGGGCAGCAGCCGTTGAGTGCCTTGCACATGTGGCAGAAGTTTGGAGACTCAACAATGGATATATAATTGAATGCTATTTTCTGTGATCTAGTGAGTGATCTCTGGCCGCATTCGATGCCATGGGGTGGTTTCTATAGCAAAGGCTTCCTACTCCATGTACTGTGCAACCCCCGCTTTGTGGCCTTGCTCGGCCGTCCATGCAAGAAACGCAGCCATAGGAAAAGCAACACCATCCTCTTGCACTTTATTTGCCAGTTCCAAAACAATGGGCCGCATCCACTACGTGACCTTGTGGTGCCCCATATGCTTTTCTGCAGTTGAGAAGGATGAAAACTTGAAGGAAATCCCTTTGCGGCATATGCAGCAAACGATCTTGTTACGTTCGTCTTCCTTCCTGGTAATGTTGTCGTATCTCACGGGGACCCCAGGCGGCCCCTCCTCTTCCACTTACAATGGCTTTGCCTATTTGCTGTCACTCTGCCTAGGCCCCAACGGTGGGGCCACACACCTATTGGTGGTAGAGGCGGCTCCCACTCCACCACCTCCCTCCGTTTGTGCTTGCTTTGCCCCAGGGGGTGCATTCCCACCCTGGTAGCCTGCCATGCACTTCACCCCAACACCGCTTCTAGGGGCACCCCCCGATGCGGTCAATGGGCCCCCAAGTGTTGCTACCGGCACAAAAGCAGCTCCCACCCTACCGCTGACGGACGCACCCTTGGGATCCCCGGCCGGCGACTGCTTTTCGGATGCCTCAACAGCTGGTGGTTGTCATAGGTTTGGAGCCCCCTGTGCACTAGGTTCTGGATCCAAGTCCCCCAAGTCCCCTGTCACCATATGCCTATAGTTTAACGAACCCGGCAATGGGGCGCTGCCACTAACAGACGCCCTCTGAACCTCCCCCCTACCCCTGCCACCGCCATCTCTACACGACTGGAGCCCTCACCATTGGGGGGTGTTGTCCGCCATTGTGGGCACTCCTCTATCTAGTCCCGGGCATCCTCTGCCTGACATTGTGGAGCACCGCCTTGGCGAAGCCGGGCCGGGGGACGGGACTCCCCAACCTTCACAAACCGCTGCTTTGTCTACTTAGTTTTGCCACCCATTGCAACAAGCACAAATTGCATAGCATGGGGGGAGGGGCACCACGTTTGTGAACCATGGGCCATGTGGCCCGCATGTCAACTCCGATCGCCGCATTCTCATTAATACACACATAAATTTGATATTGTTATGTACCACAGGATGGATTGTGGAACGGGCACTAGAATGGCCTGGGACGGCCTGGGACGGCCTGGGACGGCCTGGAATAAACTTTGGAATGCCATGGGTAGTATGACCAGAAATTGGGATGGCTGCACACTGTTCCAGATCTGTCCTGACCCTATTCCAGCTCAGGGACGGGCCGTTCCTCAGCCATTCCTGGGCCCGTGGGCCCAAGAATAGAAACGGACTATAGTTCGTTCCCATTCCCATTCCCGTTCCTAGTCCGTCCCCATTCCTCAACGGCTCACCTCTGCCCTCTACCTGACTGCCCCTGTTGCATTCGGTTCCATGTGTCTCCAACTTGGTCCATGGACCCCATGCGTGACCATGTTGTTGTGCATGATAATTTTTTTTTGCAAGCTCAAGTGGATGGGCACATGGGGGGAGGGGGGAGCTGGCCACGATGGCGGGGGTTTCCCCTAGTCAGCAGCAGTCCGTGTGCTTTGCCCAATGGGATATGGCACACCCCTTCTTTGTGGCACTGCTATTGTCAATGCTCATCAGGTTGCCCTCGCAGGCTCAAGTTGCGGAGCACCAGGGGGAGTGGTGAGCTAACCCAGGCAAGGGACACAGCGGTGGAAGCAATGGGGATGCAACGTCACATGGGCTTAGTGGGGAGTGGAGCCGCCCCAGCCAGTGAGTACTATTATGTTGGTTACTGCATGGTTGTCTTGCCTCTTGCTGCAATCAACAGGCAGCTTGTGCATGCCCCAGTTAGTCCGTCCTGCGTCTGCCCCGAGTGATCGGTGGCAATGTGTGGGGGCCAGCTGGGGTTTGCGCCTGTCTATGCTGCCTTGGTGGTTGCTGCTGTCCATTGCAGCCGTGCATGCAGGGAATTGCTGCAATAACAGTGTTGTAGTGATATTGCATGCCTCCGTCACTGCAGCTGCTGGGCGGCTTCTGCGCACCTCGGCCAGTCCGTATTGCGTCTGCCCCGGGCGATCAGTGGCAATGTGTTGGGCCGGCTGGGGCATGCAGGGCCCATTACTGCCTTGGTGGCTATGGCTGTCCACTGCAGCCGTGCATGCAGGGAACGGTTGCAGTGATAATGTTGCAGTGTTACTGTTGCAGCGATAGTGATGCTGCATGCCTCTATCGTTGCTACCACCAGGCTGCAGCTGTGCGCCCCAGCCAATCCACACTGCGTCTGCCCCGAGCGATCGGTGGCAGTATGTGGGGCCGGCTGGGGCATTTTGGAACCCACCGTGGTGGTTCTTGTAAACTTTTGTCCGGTGATAACAGTACTCAAAATATTGTACTCAAATATAGCGAATATGTACACCTACATATTGTTTTGTTCATATGTGTTCCGTATATTACGGAACTTATACAATGCTGAATATTGCATTTTAGGCCACCGTCATGAACACCGTGCCGGCAAGAATCGCGGTCAGAGGTTGAAAATTAGAAGGCGTGAAATATGGGAAAAGTAAATATGGGTAAAACATCAAAGTACGCGACAGACCAGTGCTATATTTTGGAATCTTGAATACAACTATCCGCTATACAACTATCCTTTCACGGACACAGACTATTTTTCTGTCACCAGGAGCATTCTACATGACCAAGGCTCCCACGTGCATCGCACAATGGTCACATCGTGTGCAACACCTTGAACAGCGGGTCGTCAACATGTCAAAGCCCCTATGGTAGTGGGAGTTGGATGCCACTTCATGTGGCAGCCACCCATCCCTGCAAGTCGGCAGCCTGAGTGTGCTGAACGCAAAGAGTCCTGCCATGCGGGAAGGTGTCACCGACTGTTGCAACAGAGGCGCCTGCAACACTTTTTTCCTTGCAGGCTCAAAGTGTCACCCTCAGTTACAGACTATGCTTAATTGGTTTGCAATTTTCACCACAGCGTCAAATTTCCGCACACAAATCAATGCAGAACAATTGGAATACCATCCACCAGCATCCTCTCCACCTGAGTGCACGAATGTGAATCCCCAAAGCCATGTTCCCCCAACGCACCAACAAAATACCCGTTGCATGTTGAAGCACAAGTGCTGCCCACATCTCCCAGCTTGTGAGCATCCGGAAGTTGATGCCCGCATCACCCCTTGTGCCCTATTTCTGACAGCCATTGGTACAGTGATGTACATCTCCACAAATTGTGGGTGGCAATCCCCCTGGGAATAAAACTCAGCGTGAAATTGAATGCGCCAGCAATCTGCACGCTTCCACCAAAGCCACGCCGTCTGCAACCTAATCGACCCAGCCTGCTCGTAATGGAATTCAGCCAGACCTCTCCGCAGGACCACACCTGCACCATTTCAGCCTCCTAACATAAAAATGCTACACAGTACCATTCAGGAGTTCCACCCTTTCCCTCCAAGTAAATTCCTTGCAAGAATTCCTTGCAAACTGCAATCGCAAATTCTCATAAGAAACTGGCCTGAAAGCAAAAAAACGGAAGTAATCCATGAAGAGCCACGTCAAGATGCCTATGGCTGCGCACCAGCCACAGCCACGTTGTCCAAAATTTCGTTGCTGCCAGTGAAACCCGCCTGCTGGGCCTGCTCTTGCTGTTTGATGCGCGCCTCCAATTCAACCATCATGTGTTCGGTCATGGCCTGGACACACACACATATATGGCATGCACAGGACTCAGGACACACACTGACATGTGTCATGTATAACCCTCAGGCACATCTTCGTCATTGTTGTGGATCCTCACCCCTCACCCCTCACGCCCCATTATTCTTCCCAAAACTCCCTGCATCGTTGTGTGGGAGATGCAACACCCCCTTCGATATCAGAGGAGACTGGGACTCTACTCTTCTAGAGGATTCGTTCAGATGCGCTCTTTGGCACCGCATTATCGTAAATCAAAGGCACACATCTTCCTTAAGCTCTAGGTCAGTGGCAGCAGAAACATGTACTACACTCAAATAAGCAATGTGCTGGTTAGTTGTTAGGAATGCAACAACAATCGTTTTGCATAATTGCAATGAGATTCAAGACGTCGGCACGTTTGTCTCATAGCTACATGGCAGAAATTGGCAGATCCAGCGATTCCTAAGTGAATTAAGATAACCATGAGGTGTTTTCTTGCATTTTTTGGGATGCCGCTCTGTTGAATTGCATCTTTCCTGTGCTTATTTCAGGTCATATCGTTTTGCATAATGGCAATGAGATTCGAGACGTCGGCACGTTTGCCATATAGGCACATGGCAGAAATTGTCAAATCCTGCTTGCTTTGGCTGCGCTCTCGCTGCTGATGATTACTTTGGCACCACAGAGTGGAAAGAACCCAGCCCGTTCTTGCTGAAAGGATGAGCTCCATTTCATGACAAGTCTCCTGGTTTCAACGCACTCCTCAGACCCACTCGTGTTGCTAATTCTGGGTCCACATGGTGTCTGGGGCAAGGAGCTACAGTGGGGCAACGGGACACTATGTGTTGCATAACATTCCTATTGCGATGTAGGCATTTCTGCATCATCTTGTCCTCTGTGGACAAATAGTCCCACCAAGTAGCCTGCTGTGGATGGCAGTGCCGCTCACCATATGATATGCCTTCCTTTCTTTGAGAAACACCCGTATCACTGCAGGCTCTGGGCTCTAGGACTCGGGCACTGGGCACAAACATATTTGGCAGCCAGAAATGAAGATCTGGCAGCATCAAGCACCAGAGAATCCAATCAAGCAACTCACATCGAGGTCATACTCAGGCGCCCAGTGCCAATCCCTCCTTGCACTCGAGTCGTCAATTGAGACAGGCCATGTCCTGGCAATGTCCTCACGATAGTCTGGCATGTGACGTATCTCAAAGCTGGGAATGAGCTTTTTAATGGCTGCACTGAGCTGCTTGGGCGTGAAGGACATGGCTGTCACATTGTAGGTCGTCTGCAAGAACATTCAAGTGTGCACTGTGTCTTAACAGAGTGCAGTAGCAAGCAAGCCTGGGGGTTTGTGCTAAGAGAAATTGCACAGGAGCAAAAGCGGCAAAACACTGACATGAACTCCATATCTCAGCCACTGAGCGCACTGAACGATTGAACTTTCAAATCAAATGCTGGCGAAAACTGTGGCACATAGCAACAATGCTCCAACACAATACAGTTACAGGATCGAAACATTGCATCTGTTGCATGTGGCCGTCCAAGCATCTCAGGTGCATCAATACAATGATGTGGTGCAACAAAAATTCAGGGATGGGGGTGGGTACCAGCAGGAGGGCAGATGGAGACTCAATTAAGGTACTGATACAAATCAAAGGTGTTTCCCACTGTAGCTGTCTGCTATAGTGCATAACAAGCCAATGTGCAATCTTCGCCCGTTATACAAGGTGAGCAGCAGCCTGCCACCCACACAATTCCCTGACTGGTTTCTTTGGGATGCAATTCTCAGATGGAGTCCCATGCATGAGCACCACGGTTGGCGGGAGGTTACAGCCCGCTTTGCTTTCATAAAGCATACCAGCCACGTGATGCATTTACAGCCTATGTCTTTGTGTTTGCAGCATGTTTTGAGAGAAAGTCCAACTTTTGCGCATTTGCAGCATGTTTTGAGAAAAAGTCCAATTATTGCGTCTTTACAGACCCCTGTTCCTTATATGTATTAATCTACAACCAGAAACCTAAGACCTAAGCTAAAACCTGAATTGCAACCTGAAATGGAACTTTTTCGAGCCAAGGGGCTCCCGATGCCTAAATACAGAGTATTTGGATACACACATAAAACGAGCTGAAACAACATAAAACGTTCATTTCCTATTTCATTGTTAATCGTCTTTTGAAAAGACAAAATCTGCATTTCTTTCTCGTTTGGTTCGTTTTGGACACAGCATAAAACAACGACACTTGCCAAATTTGCCAGTGCTTGCATCACTAGCATACTCAATAAATGCTTCTTCAGGTACCACATGTAGCTTATCTGACCTTACACATGGGATCTCATGTTCCCGTTGGCACCTCATGGGGAGGTACATCTTGAAAATCCGCTCAAGGCAACAGGATGAAAAACATTGTAGTGGCAATCCATGCCACATGTTGTTGTGAGGGCGAAAGAACAATTAATAAGTGGTTGTGTGACATATGGAGATTAATGATGGAACGTGGTGCGGTGAATATGGCGATGGTGTCATTGTGACTCGCACATGGAGGAGTGGAAGGGGAAATGGAATGAACATGTTTGCATGTACAATTACTCAACTGGTACACTCATCCTGCAGTGCATCTTGTTATGGTCTTGCTTCCTTCCTGTGCTTGAGAGCGGCCAAGTTCAACGACAATGGTGTTCCCACCACGTTTGGAGTGGGAGTGGGAGCGCTCCTTGTTCCGAGCACGTGGATCTGCCAGGCGACACCAGCGGGGAAGGAGGGCAGCATCCACCGATTGAGGTGGAGGAGGGGCAAGCTATGGGTGCGCATGAAGTGGATGGCCGGTGTTCGCGTGCAGCGGAAAGCATGCAAGGACCTGGTGGCCTCCATGGGAGGTATCGTGGCACACCCAAATGATGGTTTGGTGGCCCCATTCAGAGGCATATAAATATCAATTTTGCAAGGATTGTTTCGAGTATCTTAGGGTGATATTGATGGCGTTTGGCCAAGAGCCTACTGACTCCACATTGGCTCAATTCTTGCAAGCTCTTATGCTTATGAACCAATCGGGATGGCACCAAATTCGTGTTTGTCTAAACTATTTCGCTTGCTTCATTTGGTAGGGGGATCTAGAATTGGTGGTTTTACGAGATGTTTAAGCGCATCCCTCATTACAACAATGGCAATACTTTCTTTCTCTCTTGTGCCATCTTTTTGTTCGATGTGCTATTCCCTCTTCTGCCTCTTCTGAGTCCTTTACGGTGATTACAAATATGAGCAAGATTGGTTTGGGGGCTGTCTTACATGTCGACCATTTGGGCAAGGGCATAGGCAATGACGGGTGCAGAAGGGGCAAACATTGTGTGGGGACTCAAAAAATGGGCGCAAATGCGAGGGACGCCTTCGATCTTGTGTTCCGATGTGTGTAGGACCATGCAATCCAAGGAACCACAAAAGTGGTGTGCACAAGAGGGAGTGGTTCAAGAGTATCCTTATCACCATGCATCCATTGGGTTTGTGGAGCTATTCAACCAGATGCCATTGAACGGATTGCGCAGGATGTGGGCAGAGGAGCCCAAGTATTTTGCCAAAAATGGTTGAACAAACCATGGAAATTTACAATGATATCCATCTCTCTTTACCAAAGGAGACTCCCAGCTCTTTCATATTCGGGTCGCCAAACTGGTTGTGGGACAATTCGCGGGTCATAAGTGTGCGCGTCGGAAGTGTGTGAAAGCGAGCCACATGACAAAAGGACGGCGCAACCAAAGGACAAAAGGACGGCGCATCGCTCTGTTCAAATTGCTATGCACTGAGCACACTGAATGCAGGGAATGCAGCTCAGCTGAGTTCAGTTCAACCCCCCTTTCTGTAACAAAACAATCTTCACCTGCTTGAGATTTTCCTTTGGTGCCATCATCAGTTGCCATGTGGCTCTCAAGCAGTCCGGCATGTACATCATAGGGAGGGCCATGTCTTCAGACTGTGAAGAAACACCAAAACATGTTCATACTTGCAAGGCAGAGCTCTCTTCAAGGGTGTTCTATTTCCCCAGTCCCTGCTGTAAAGCTAAAGTGCAGGTCAAGAGTGCTGGTAACGTTTAGGGGATGAATTGCCAAGCTGTCACCGTGTTGAGGGTTCGTTGGTACGCAACGAAATAACATGTTCCGTTGACTCTTGATGCATTTTCTATGGACAGAAGCCACAAGCACGTGCATTTACTGTGAGATAGCCAAGGCACACATATATTCTATCAAGTAATGGTTGCCCCCAGCAACTTGTAAACGTGATGAGATTGTTGCATATTCATGTGAGAAGAAATAAAAGGTGCAGACATACTGCCCATCCTCAACAGTCACTTGGCTGAAGGGGAAAAGCTGGTGAAAAGAAACGAGAATGAACAGTCTCAAACAACCTTGGGGGATGGGATTATGCCTGCAATAGAACTTTGGTTGCAGCAATGGTGCTTCCATTGGACACACTGATATGGGCATTGGCAGGAATGAAGCGTAATATGCAACTGGCTGCCATTCTCATGATGTTACACCACCAAGGTGCTTGTCAAGCGACACAGCCATTGTAACAATGGAAACAGCAAGTGATTGGAAACGAATGACAAAAGTTCAGGTGAGGGTTGTGTGCTCTGACACCCTGCCATGGCAACAACCTTCTGCTGGGTGAAATCGCACAAGTCAGCCACCTTTAACCTCCGCAGGTCTGGACACCAAATGTCCTGGCAGGCAACATCTGCAGAACACTCACTGACAACCCCAGTTTTTCACGCTGTTCAAAGGCTGAGGGTGCTGTGTGCCGTTTGGGACAGCATATTGTGAATGCACACATTTATAATCGTGGTGCGGCTGCTGGTAGTACTCTGCGAGGCAGCCCTGCATCTGCTTGATTGCATCAAGCTGCTTGGGTATGATCTGTGGACATCGCCAAAAACAATCAAAGGCAGCCTACCCATTTTGGATGTTTAGTTTGGAACAAAACAACAAGGAAACACAACACCACACCTAACTGGCCTACCAAGAAACAATTGTATTTGCCATGCTTCAGTGCAGCGTAAAATATCTCCACTGCATAGTCAGTGGTGCCCCCACCCTGCAAATCACAGCAAACCACAGGCTGTAAGGCACAATATGCGACAATCATACACACCAAAATTCTACATCAGCTTCAAGACACACAATCATCAAGAAAATAGGAAGGGAAAAAGTGTGTGGCACAGGGCACAAATGCAGCAAATCCATCGGCAGATTCGCAGGCACGCGATGCTTGCCATTACCAAAAAACTGCAGGGAACAGAGTTCTTGGACTCGAAGGGAGAATGAGGACTACCCTTTGAAACAGATCACAGCACCTGTCACAGCACAGGGTGATTGGCAGTTGTGCTTCAGTCAGCCAGGCAGCTTGAAACAGTTGTAAGACTGAATGCACACACCGGAGGTGACTTTGAAGAGACAACCCCCGGGTAGCGCAGTGACCTGAAGTCCACGCCAAACTTGTCTGCATAGTAGTCACCCAGCAGTTCTTGGTGAACTTTGGTGATGCCATACATCGTCTGGGGCTGCATTACTGTCACATCTGGCGTGTTGTCCCTTGGTGTTGTTTCGCCAAAGACTGCAATCGTGCTGGGCGCGTAAATCTTCAGCTTGTGAGATGAGGCCAACTCCAAGATATTCTGAATCCCGGTTGTGTTGACTCTCAAGGCCAACTGGGGGTTCTTTTCACCGATGGCTGGAGGAGTGAGGAAACACGGAATGGTTAGGAACAGCTTGACAGTCTCAATAAGCCACAGTGACCTTCCTGTGTACCGTCACCAATCAAAGGCAATGCAACAAACAGTATTTTTGCCAACGTGTTGAAAGTGAGAAGGCATTCCTAACTCTGTGTAGCTAAATGCAATTGAATGTGACTCAAGAAAACCGAACAAGTACTTGAATCCACGTTTGGGACAAATCTTGTGTGTGGAACTCTGACTGTCATCGCCTTGCAAGGCGCATGGGCAGTGTTTTACCATTTGGAAGTCTTCCCCTGTTGTGTTCACAGATCAATCATCAACTTGAGGATGAGCAGTGTGGAGATTTCCACCCAACAACCCCTAGTTCTGATCACAGTCCTGCAAGTTGGAACTGTACTTCTACTTCATTTGGAGTACCAACCACTGGCTCAACACATAAATGAACATACCTGAAAGGAGTGTGGCCAGATGCACAATATGCGACACCCCATTCTCCAGGACAATCCTGGCCAAGTTATCTTTGTCTTGGACATCGCAGTACACAAAGGGGCCAGAGTCCAACAGCTCCCGGCTTGTGCGCACATCGCTTGCAATAACATTGTCAAACCCAACTCTGTGCAGATGTAGCAATACGGAACTGTGTTAGCCTGATTCAAATGTGGAGTGCAGACAGTGGCACTGAAAGGTTGGACAAATAAGGACAAAACACTGCCTTCCAGGGTTACGCAGTGATCATGCTGTACAAACAAACACAGTCTCCCCATCCCATAAAGATGGGACGTGGACTGGTTGAACTCCCGCACTCACAGAATCAACCTGATCTGCAACATGTATCTCTTCTACAATATGAATGAACTTCATTTGCATGTGTATAAGCGTGCATTTTTGCCCTCCCACTTCCTCAAAGCAACAAGAACCAACAGTAAGCCCCACAACGTGTGTACTGAATAGCCTCCATCACAGCTGCAGCACCCAATGACCAACAACACACACTGATTCACGTGTTGCATGCAGGCTCGAGGTGGGCGCAAAACACTGGACGTATCGGCAGTTGGAATCAGTGCATAAATCAGAAAAATACAGTTTTCCACCGAGCCTTCTTTTCCTGTTCTTTGATCGACACAAACAACACGTGTCATTCAAGAGTCCAGGTGCCAGCCCCGGCGTAACAGAAGATGCGTGCGCTTTGTGGCACCTTGCAAGGAACTCAAAGGTGATGCAACTCCCCCCACGGTTACCAGGTTGCAGTGCAAAGCACACTGCAAGCAGCGCACCAGCAGGTGCCAGAACTTGCAAGCTGCTCTCGCATTTTCTCGCTTTGTTCTTGAAAGACAATTTAAGCAAAGGGTTTCAGCAGGCTGATCTCACTTTTCTCGCAGAAGGGGCACCAGCTCACTCCCAATCTGCCCGCTTGCCCCGGTCACCAGGAACCTTGGCGGCAGGTCACTCCCCCAGGCCGCGTCATGCCCCGCCTGGCCCGTCCTCATGTACCCCCCATACTGGGGCTCCTGCGCCGCCGCCGAGGTGTGGATCCCGCCCATCTGCCCGCGGCCCGACAGGGAGGCCTGCAGGGCGCGCGAAAGGCGCAGCGCGGTCGAACGGAGCCTGGACATGGCTGCCTGCCTCCTGCTGGGACACAAGGACCGGGTTGGGGAAAGATGCAAACGATCACGGGACACACCAGCCCAGCGATCAGGATAAGGGGGCAGACGATCAATTACCAGGAAGCTAGCCGCGTGGACGTCTGCTGTTCATGGCATTGCCCCACCCGCAGTGCAGGTGGGCGAAGCGCGGTTGTGCGTTCGGTTACTTCTTGTGGGGGCTACAGGTAGGGGGGCCCCGCGCCCGTTGAGCTTCCAGAGCGTCTCAGCCTCTCCTTTGTGGGGAGGCTGTTCAATCCTGGGGCAGCGAGGCGCGCTGCCCGCGGTTGCTGTCGGGCGACAGTTCTGGAGTGTGCGTCAGCGGCGTGCCGCGGCCGCGCGCTTCTTGTGGCCGTTGCGAGCAACAGATAGCAAGGCGTGGGGCGATGTCCCCAAAACCGCCTCTGCAGGAACGGAGCTTCGAGAACTGCGCATCCGCCAGCATCGCGGCGAAGGTCGACGGCCACCCGAAAATGGCGGCAACATGGCCCGCTGAGCGGACCCCACAAACCACTCCGCGTCTCATCGGTTCTCCAACAGGCCAGCAACTCGTCCACACTGATCTGCGCACGTCTGGGACTCCCAAACCCGAACAGAGCGCGCCGAATAATGAGGCGATCCTTGCGAGTGGCTTCCTCACCTCAACCGCGCAGAGGCACCACCACAGATCTCTGCTTGAGAAGAAAAAACGCCAGGCAGCGGCGCCGCGGGCTTCTCAACCAAACAGCGCCGCTTGTGGGACGCCGAGGTGGGTCGCCCGCGTCGCTGCGGTCGCTGTGTTGACGGAGCTGCAACAGGCAGGGCGGGCGCAGGGTAGGTCGCGTTGGCGTTTGTCTCACATGCAGGGGCCCCCAGCAACGGAAGTGCCCAAGATGCGCGGGAGCGGTGTACGGACGGCAGAGGCGTACGCCTTGTGTTGCATACACCATCCATCTGGTGGCACCCTTCGTTCCTAGTTTTAATCCCGCAATCCTTGTTATGTAATGAATGGTTCATTGATTCAGGAAGTCTGGGTCGCGAAGTTTTCATCGTTTGCAAAAGTTTGCTTCAAGGGGGAACCCGGGCCCCGGGCCATGAGGGGACGGACCTTGTGGATGTCTTGGTCCGCCTCCCTGGGGGCAAGAGTGGGCAAGTGGGCAGGCGTCGTGTTACGCACACCGGCCTGATGTGGGGGACGCCCTACTCATGGCCCCTTGGTGTGGGGGACGCCCTGCCCAAGGTATGGTGATGTACCCCTAGCCACTTAGCGATATTATACGATATGGGAATAGGTCTGGGTGGTCCCGCCTAGGTCCCCGTAAGGACCTAGGTACCCGGCGAGGCGGGTCCGTGGCTCAAAGAGGGCAGGAGCCCCACACCAAAAATCTTCATGTAGCATTGGTTTCAGAGCCACCTATGGGTGGCCCACCGCATCGGCCCAAAAGCCTGGGCCAAAAGCAAGCTCGGCCCTCCCCAACCTCCTCCGTAATGGAGGCCGAGGAATCGGACTCGTCAGCCCGAGAGCGCACCTGTCGCGGCCCGCGGGCGGTTGCTGGTTTTCGGAGTTATGGGGGCGGTCGCCGCACCCGATGGCGCGGCCTCGATGCTGCGCCTCTCTGCCGGATTCCGGCGGGCGTTGTCGGGGTGCTCGGTTGTTCCGTAGCGCGGTGGGCCCTTTGGACGCTCGGGGACCTTCCCCGAAGCCTGCCGTGTGCAGGCGGTGGATTCCCGGCGGCGGTCGGCGGCTCGCTGCCTCGCGGCGGGGCAGAGAGGGGCCCGAATGTGGTTACAGTCTGACGCGCGCGGCGCGCTTCCATACATTCCGCGCAGTGCCCGGTCGTGGGTCCACCGCATCACATCAGACAATGACAGCTCAATGTAATGTACGTACCGTGTCCCAGCGCCCCCGGTCACCTATAATCAACCTAATCTAGCTCTAATTCCAACCATCCCCGCCCAGCACCCGGCCTCTAAGTACTGCGTCTTCACGAGGCCGTATCTTCCTCAATAATCCATAGAATTGAGTGCTGAAAGAAGCATTGGAACCAGAAAATCATAATTAAACCATAGAGAAGGATGACTCAGCGAGATTATGTAATACAGCTGCAGAAAACATCATTTACTGCCTGCCCCCAAGTAGCTCCACAACAGCACCCCAACACCCTGAGAGGGGAGACTGACATCTGGGGTCGCTCGGCAGGAAGACGCAGCCCGTGCGGGCAGGATAGAGGTTGAGCCAGTCCGAGAGGACCAACCTAGGCCATCGGTACACCAAGCATTGGAAGAAAGTGAAGACCAACCCATTGTGGAAGCCGAGGCCAAAGAGAGCCAAGAGGGGGCGGCAACCGGGAAGATGGCTGCCCTACTACAAGACCCAGAAGTCATGGCCCTCCTGGAGAAGATAGCCGCATCTGCTGCGGTCAAGGCCCAGGAGGCACGCGACCGGGAAGCAGCAGCCCAGATCGCACAGTTGGAGATCGCAGCGGCCTCTGTGCAAAAGGAAGCAAGGCGATATGAAATTGCCTTGAAAAAAGCAAAGGACAAGAGCCGAGAGGCCGATGTCGCCCGGGTTTTGGCGGAGGAGCAAGTAGCCAGTCTCAGCGACTGGCTGCACAAGCACAAGGAGCGCACACGTGAAGCCGAGGAGCATATCGTGGAACAGCCCAAGCAACCCGAGAGGGTACCAAGTCCGACGGCGGCGAAGATGCTAACGATTCTAGAAGCTCAAGGGGCTGAGGACTGGAAGACCGTCAGGCGGACGAGCTCGAAGTGCAAGAGCCCCACAGTAGATGAGGCCTGGAGACAGCAGGCCGAGAGGGCTATAGTTATGGGCCTACGGGCTGACCTTGCACGCCCTTTGGCCAATAATCCAGGCCCTTCGGCCAATGATCCAAGCCCCGCAGCCCACGTGCCAGGGCCATCAGGCAGTGTTCCCTGCAAACGGATGAAGTCAAAAATATGTGTAAAAACCCCGAGCGATGGTGATCGGACCAGTGAGGAGTCACTCACTGAGAGTGCCCGTGCAGTGTGTGGGCATAGTCCGAGCAGGCCGAGAGGTCCGGATTGGAGCCTGACGAGACCGGCTCTGCTAGAGTGGGGACCAAATGAGGAAGAGCGGGTACTGGAATTTGAACCAGACGCTGCCAATCCTTACAACAGGCAACATAAATGCCGAGTCGTGTAGACAAGGTTTCACAGTGAATGGCTAAGCGACCTAGATGAGGGCTGGAGAATGGCCTCTGAAAGGTTTTGGGATGAGATTGACCACCGCACAGCTGGTGAGGATCCAGCGGTGGTATGGCCCCGGAATGGCGACACAGATCGCCCGGGAAGATCCCAATTGGCCGGAAAAAATGGCCTTCGCTTTAAGGCACATTCCCGAGCCTTAGGACTTGAGTGCAGGCAACCCTGAGAGGCCAGATCCGCAAGACCCCCATGAAAGATAGGAGGAAATATCAGCATTGTCCATCTCGTCTTGTGCATCCCCATTACCGGGAGATATGTCTACCAGAGCACAAGTGCACAGGATAGAGAGAGAGAGAGGAGACATGCACATAACCAAGATCGGTTTGCGCGTGCCAAGCAGTTTGATGAGCAAAAAGCTCGTAGAGATCATCGACGGAGAGAGCAAAAGGATCTGCATCGAGAAAGGGATAAACAATTAAATCCCGAGAAATACGAGCAGAAGCGAGCCTGGAGAAAACAACGGAAAGCTGATTTCTGTCATTGCTTCATGTCTGCAGGTGGAAGCCAGAAGGCCCAGCGGGTAAAACCAGTGGAAATCATAGATGAACTGGATCCCGCTGCTCAAGCTAAAGCCTTCGGGCAGTTTGAGAAAGGGTCAGCAAAACGAGCACCCCGCGAGGAGGAAAGGACTCAACCGAAGCCACGATGGGCTGACGTTAATGAGTCCAGCAACGGAGACAGCGGGGTCACCCGTCCTACTCATTTTGCACCGCCGGAGCAGCCTGGGAAGGCCCCAAGTCCGAAGGGGTCAAAACAACCTGAGAAGGCGTTCAAGCCCAAAGTGGCAGTGAAGAAAGACACAGGTAAGATCCCTGACAAAGTTGTTAGGAGATCTAAACCTGCACCTCGTATCCGGAAGCAGTCTGAATTTGGTGACTCTGCTGGTCATGACGAGGTTGTGTATGTTGGCTCAATAGGCCCACTGGCCAGTCCTATTCCTCCGGAGCGGCAGGAAATTTTTGCCGTAATAAAGAGACAAAAGGAAGCATTGGAAAGGGCCAGGGCTGGGGCCGATAGGCTAGCGCAATTGCTGGCTAACTTGGGAAAGGAGGGCTTCACTGAATTCATAAAATTCAAGGAATTTCAGTGTAAGCAGCAGCAACAGCCTCAACAACAGGCTCAATCACCCCCTCAAAGGGAGAGTAGCGCTGGTCAGGTCACCAAGAGATCAAGTATACAATGGATAAGCCTGACCCTGCCTATAAGAGGCAGCGCCAGCAGTACAGGGTGAGGGAGCCCCATCGGGCAACAACAGGGCCAACTCCCAGGGTCCAAGTACCCGCGGTTCAAGACGTCCATGGATATTGGGACTCAATTGGTGCATTTTACGATGCCTATGGTGGGGTGTACTACAAGGGGTACTACCACCCTAAGGGCGGCGCAGTACCATACCGTGCATCAGTCCCACCGGATGCCCTGAGGAGAATACTTGCCTGCCTGCGCCTCAATTTCGAGGCACAACAGAAAGCCTTGGAGATCCACATTCTAAATCTCCAAGAAGCAGCCACAGAGTGGCACGCACTGCAGAGAGCCGAAAAGAGGATACCCCACGAAAGAGACCCACAAGGACAAGCTGTCTCGAGAGTGCCAATCCCTCAGGCACCTCAGCCAGCACCTGCCACTGCCTGGCCTTATACAATAGGCCAGAGAGGACCAGTGAGAGAGCCGCAACAGCCCCACACGATGCAACAAAAAATTGCGGCGCTGCAGGCCATATCTCCATTCGGTCAGCCATGGCCGTCCTCACA